AAAATAAACCAACGTTTTTTTGATAATTTCGCTTTTCTAACTACTTTTTTTAAAATGTACAATTACCCACAAAACTCTAACTTTTAAAAAAAATTAATGCATAATAGTTATACAGAAACAGCTCATCTGTTTTAAAATGTCAAATTTGATACGTGAGCGCTTTTTATTAAGAACTTATTATTAATAAAACTTAGACGTCTAAAATCATACTTTTGTAAAAAAGCGATATTTAGTTTGCAAGAATGAATACTGCAAAGTGAAACAATTTTTCTAGATGTTGTAGGTAAAACTGTAGATCATATATAGATCGAACTATAGATTACTTCTGATCTCTATTCCCTACACTTAGTTTTCACTATTATTTTAAGTATTTAAATTTCTCATTTTTATTGGAAGTTTTGTCTCACTTACAATTTTGTTTTAATATTTTTCTGTGATTAACTTTTTTTTTCTATGTAAAGATTTCGCTTGAGTTTTTAGATCATATATTAAAAAGGTTTAATGCATTTAAAAACTTTTTAGAGTTTTTAGGTGTAATGGAATGTTTAAATATTTTTAAGGCTAGACAAGGCTATCGTTATTTTGACGTAAAATCAAGTAAAAATATTCTCAAGTTAAAAATAGATCTCTATTATTTTGCTATTGTTATTTGTAACAATAAAAAGCGCGGATATCTTGGCTTTTAAACAATACGTTACAGGGTTTATGCGAAATATAAAACATTTTTAAAGAAAATATAAATCATTTTTTAAGAAAATATAAAACATTTTTTAAGAAAATATAAAACATTTTTTAAAAAAATTTAAAACATTTTTTAAAAAAATATAAAACATTTTTTGAGAAAATATAAAACAAGTTTAAAAAAACTATAAAACATTTTAAAAATATATATACACAGTATAAAACATTTTTAAAGAAAATATAAAACATTTTTTAAGAACGAATAAAACATTTTTAAAGAAAATATAAAACATTTTAAAGAAAATATAAAACATTTTTTAAGAACGAATAAAACATTTTTAAAGAAAATATAAAACATTTTAAAGAAAATATAAAACATTTTAAAGAAAATATAAAACAAATTTTAAGTTAATATAAAACATTTAATTAGTTAATTAAATGTTTAATATTTTAACATAAAATATTTAATTACGTAAATACTCTAAATTATGGAATTAATGTGGTTTATTCACAACAAAGAAGAGATCTGTAAAAATATATTATTATAGCTTTATTTCGTTGTTTAAATCGATAAATGGAATAAAGAGAAAAAAGAAAAAAAAGAACACTTATTACAAAGGATATTGTAAAAACCATAAGAAAGTCAATTATTAAAAAAATGAAGTTAAAAGAAATTGCGGAAAAAGTTGAAATATCAGTTTCTGCAATACGTTCTATTTATGAAATAATCTATAAAGGACTTAGTGATGATGAAATCGCATCATTAGAAAAAGGAAGGCGCAGCTCTTATGACTAGACACTTAAATCTGAAATTCGATTGTTAATTGAGCATGATCCATCTCATAAGTTAGCATAATTGAGAAATATTCTCTTTGAAAGGAATATTAATGCATCTATACCAACAATATCTAAATATTTGAAGTCAATAGAGTTCACTAGAAAACGACTTAAATTAGTACCAAAAGAAAGGAACTCGCCGCAAAACATTGATTTAAGACAAAGTTTTTGAAGGACTATTAATTCGATTCCTGACAATAACTTAGTGTTTCTAGATAAAACAGGCTTTAATTTACATACTTCTAAGCAGTATGGCTATTCTATAAATAATACAAAATGTTTTGTTACAGTGCCAGCAAATCGTGGAAAGAATGTAAGTCTTATAGATGCTATAACAGGTAATGGTATTTTAAGCTTTAAGATAGTGGATTGTACCTATAATAGCAATCTTTTTTGCTACTTTTTAACCAACAATTTAAGACCGTATTTCCAAACGAATCCCTATTCTGTACTAGTATTGGATAATTGTGCATTTCACCGTAGAAGAGATGTAACCAATTTGCTTAGCCAATCCAGTGTTTCAGTTTACTTTTTGCCACCTTATTCACCACAATTGAACCCGATTGAGGAATAATTTAGTTATCTTAAAGCTAATTATACTTCTATAAGGCCGTTTCCAAAAACTAGCAATACCGACAATTGGCGTTGATTTTTGTGGTTGGTATTATAATATGAGAAGATGGGTATTAAAAGGCATAGCAAGACAAGAGTTTCACTTTAAGAGTTATATCTTTAAGTATAATGAATTATAATTATATAAAAAGTAGTCTTTATTCTTTAGAAATGTATGTGTATCATAAATGCACTATTGATTCATCTACAATGTTTTATATTTTCTTAAAAAATGTTTTATATTTTCTTAAAAAATGTTTTATTTTTTTTAAAAAAATGGTTTATATTTTCTTAAAAAATGCTTTATACTTTCTTAATAAATGTTTTACATTTTCTAAAAAAATGTTTTATATTTTCTTAAAAAATGTTTTATATTTTCTTAAAAAATGTTTTATATTTTCTTAAAAAATGTTTTATATTTTCTTAAAAAATGTTTTAAATTTTTTTAAAAATGTTTTTGATTTTCTTAAAAAATGTTTTTTGTTTTCTTAAAAAATGTTTTATAGTTTCATTAAAAATGTTTTATAATTCGCATAAACCCTGTAAACATCTATTAATACGTCCTTGAGTAGATTAAAAAAACTATTTTGCAATAATTGTACAACAATTAACAATTAAACTGCAGATATAAGAAATTAAATGCGCATTACAAAACTGTTTCATAATTGCTTTGTTGAAAATAAACTATACTTATCACTAAGACAACCAAATATATGACTTAGTAAGCAGTTTTAACTAGTAAACTTATAAAATATGCTTTACAAACTTTATTTTTTCTCGATGCTTTACCTGATAAAAGCAAATTTCTTATTCACATAAATAAATTTTATAATAGTAATAACCACGTAAAACATTTTCGTTTACAAATTAAAGTAAGTAATTTTGCGTAACAAAAAAAAATCTTAAAAAAACTTTGTCGCAGTAAACAACAAACATTTCTTTCAGTTTCGAAAAAGCAAACTTTACCTATTGCCTCAAAAGGCGCATTTGTACGTAAAGTAACTTTGTTTAACATACTAATGTTTTTAACTCATATTTGACAGTTTAAGGTAGGTACTTCGATTGGGGCTTCTTGTTTATGTGTTTTTAAAATGATTTTGGAACGTTTTTTTTTTGCGAGCGGTAACGTATTTTTTCTTAATGCTTGATGATGATTCCTTACTATTAACATGCTTTAAGAAAACAGACTTTTCTAGAACAATCTTTCTGACCATAAAAATATAGTGATTCACGCTGTTCTTTTAATTTTTCTCCAAGCTTGTTGATTCAGAATTTAACTTCTTGGCTTTTTTTATGAGGTAAGTTTTCAATGTTGTATCATTTTAATTAGATAAGGTTTTTCTAAAGTATCAATATATATATATATATATATATATATATATATATATATATATATATATATATATATATATATATATATATATATATATATATATATATATATATATATATATATATATATATAATATATATATATATATATATATATATATATATATATATATATATATATATATATATATATATATATATATATATATATATATATATATATATATATATATAAATATATCTTTATATAATAATACTGAACTTAATAGTAGTAGTACCCTTTCGAGCACGTTTGACATAATACCCAACGCAGCCATTGCAACCGTGGTACTGGCGAGGAAGAGTCGCAGCACCTTTTTATAAGAAAACATTAACGAAAGTGTGTGCTAATAACTAACTTACGTAAACTTCAAAATGCGAAATGTCAAAACATACTAAAACATGTATCAAGTTTTTAAGTTTTACTTTCACTTGAAAACTGCATTGCGGCAACATCTCCTTAAATTTTGACCAATAGCTGTTTTATAAAGTTTTTCGTTAAGTATATATTTTTTTAATCTTTTTTGATTTTTTTTTAAATACAAAACTAATCACTTTTGAAGATGTATAGAGATTATATACTTAACAAATGTAAAAGTATTTTACACTTAAACAAACAAAAGGAAGAGAATTTTTAAAGAAAGCTTAAAAGTTCTAAAAACGTCAAAAAACAGGAGAAATTTGTTGCGCTTATTTGTCATGTTATTTTAGTTTTACATTTTAAGTTTTCTCCAACTAAGTTGAGATTATGCAAGAAAAATGGGTATATAACATGTATATATAGAATATAAAATCTATAAAACTATAAAGTGCATTTAAAAAAAAAAAGCAAGCTGATGAACTTGCCACGCGGCGACCTAAAATTTTTTTAAAACAGTAAGGGGGTTTTAAAAGTATATTTTTATTAAAAGAATAATTCAAAAATTTAAGTTTAGATTTAAAATAAATTATTTTATTAAATTTATTATTTTTTAAAATGAAAAAAAAGTTGAAACTATCTGATATCAAAGTAATAAAAAATATTTAGAGTTTTACAGCTACTTTACTACGCCCCAGTTAAATATTATTAACCGAGTGCGCAACAATGACAGAATTAAGAAAACCATCAAAATAGTATGATACTCCGTATAATATTGGAAGAGTCAACTCGAACGCTTATAGCTGATCTGAACTGAACTGCACGAGGCATTGTAAAATGTGTACACAAGATTTTTGTATTTCTTGAAATGACATATTATCTTCTATTATTATTGTCATAAATGATATAGTTATTGTTGTCATAAATTGTTGTCATAAATAGTATAATTATTGAATATACTTATATAAATAGTATGTATTTTTTAATCTGTTTTTAAAATTACTGAACTTTAAATTTCTAATGTTTTACATAATGAAACATTCTGTTTTATAGGTGTTGCATTGATTTTTGACAGGCTGATAATTTTATACAAGCTAAAGACGACCATTTTTTAAATATAAGTAAGTTTTTTTTTTGTTTTTTTTTATTGGTTTTGAATAATTTTATGTAAAATATTCAATTGTGTTTTATATGAATCTAAGTATTTAGTAAAGTGTTATTGTGTGTATGTGTTAAGTGTTACAAAATATTGTTAGTTAATTAAAATTAAATAACAATATTTTGTTTGGTATTTTAATTTTAGTGCCACAGGTTATAACATATTGTAGGTTTTAATTTCTAATTTTTCTTCATCTTTAAAACTGATTAAGAAAAACATTATTTTTTGCTAATGTGATTGTGTTATTCTATTTTATGAGATATTTTACTAATAATTTGATTGCTCTAAATTATATTTACTTTTTCAATATTTATTTTAGCCAATTAAGTTGTAACAATCTCTGCAAGATTAAAATTAGGTTTTATAATTAAGTATGAAATTAAAATATCGTTTAGCAATTTCAATAAGAATAAGGATGTGGGCCCTTATCAATTGAGATAAGAGCCCACATCCTATAGTATACATAGAGTGTGGGCCCAGAACAAGAAAAAAAGGTTTCCCCTTATTAAAGAGGAAAAGAATACTCTTATCTAAAGTTGTTGAAAAGATGTACATCCTGTTTCTACACTAAACACCATCAATATTTTAGTCAGCAGAACATGCAAAATATTAAAATAATTTGCTGCTGTGGCCGTGTTTATGATTCTCCGTGTCAGAATAATACTTTATTTTCAGTTTAGATTTTGTGAATACTTTAAATTGCAGTTAATAATTATTATAATAATCAACAATAATCACTGAATTAGGGGGTATCTAATAAGTACTTACAATAAATTTGTGAAAGAACTTCAAAATTGCTTTTTCACTCTGTATGTTTTTAATCGATAAGTCTATTTGTTCATTGATGTGTCCTTATCTGTTATTTTTTTAAATAAGAGGTTCTTATTTTTAATAAAAAGAAATATTCTTTTATTGTTGTTGTTTGTTTGTTTGTTTTTATAATTTTACCTTTTCTCATGATGGTAGAGTTATTTTTCATGTTTAACTGCATTTTAATTTAGTTGAATTTTATTTTTTTCTTTAGTTTTACTTTAGTGCTCTACCAACAATCATAAATTTACTTTATCTACAATAAAATATGGTTTTAACTTAAAGTAAACTTTTGTCATTTAAACTTTACTATGTTGATCATTACCTAATAGTGTAAAAAAAAAATTAGTACGTCGCAATCAAGGTTAGAATAATTTTTTTTTCTATTCTGTTGCTGTTTGTTTACAAACATTAAATACTTTTTAGTTTTCAGGTTTTTTAGTTTTTCTATACATTGCAAATTAGTTTCTATGTTATTGTTAATAAATTTCTTTATTCTATTTAGAAACATTAGAAAAATCAAATGTTAAGCAAAGTGCCATTATAATACATTTCTGTTTTATTATGTCAGTTAAAAAATTTATTTATTTTTTTAATTTTTTTTTTTTTTTTTTGCTTTCACAGGATCAGTGTCAAGTAATGTGTTTTGCATACTTATGTATTTTTTGGGTGTTCTGTGTATTAAGACTGAAACATATCATCTTTATATAATAATACGGAACTCAATAGTAGTAGTTCCCTTTCGAGCACGTTTGACACAAAACCCAACGCAGCCATTGCAACCGAGGTACTGGCGAGGAAGAGTCGCAGCACCTTTTTATAAGAAAACATTAACGAAAGTGTGTGCTAATAACTAACTTACGTAAACTTCAAAATGTGAAATGTCAAAACATACTAAAACATGTATCAAGTTTTTAAGTTTTACTTTCACTTGAAAACTGCATTGCGGCAACATCTTAATTTTGATCGATGGTCGTTTTATAAAGACTTTTATTTACTATATATTTTTAAAATTTGTTCAATCGTTCATAGTGGCATAGCTTAGTGGTCAGCTCGCTGGCAGCTGACCTGAAGAGCCATGGTTCGAATCCTACCTATGGCATGTTTTCTTTTTAAATTCATTTTCGATTTTTCTAAAGTACGAAATAAAGATTATGTATAGAGATTATATACTTAACAAATGTAAAAATATTTTACATTTAAACAAACGAAAGGAAGAGAATTTTTAAAGAAAGCTTAAAAGTTCTAAAAACATCAAAAAACAGGAGAAATTTGTTGCGCTTAATTGTCATGTTATTTTAGTTTTACATTTACATTTCTCCAACTAAGTTGAGTTCGCGCAAGGAAAATGAGTATATAGCATGTGTATATATAGAATATAAAATCTATAAAGTGCATTTAACAAAAAAAGCAAGCTGATGATTTGAACTTGCCACGCGGCGACCTAAATATTTAAAACAGTAAGGGGGTTTTAAAAATGTATTTTTATTAAAAAATATTTAAAATTTTTAAATTTAAGATAAATTATCTTATGAAATTTATTATTTTTTAAAATGAAAAAAAAGTTAAAACTATCGATATTTAGGTAATAAAAATATTTAGAGTTTTACAGCTAATTTACGAGTGCGCAACAATGACAGAATTTAGAAAACCATCAAAATAGTATGATTCTCCGTATGTGATTGGAAGAGTCAACTTGAACACTTTAAACTGATCTGAACAAACTGCACGAGGCATTGCAAATGTTTACTCGGTAAGATTTTTGTATTTCTTGAAATGACATTGTATCTTCTATTATTGTTGTCATAAATGATATAATTATTGAATATACTTAAAAAAATAGCATGTATTTTTGCATCTGTTTTTAAAATTACGGAACTTTAAATTTCTAATGTTTTACTTAATGAAACATTCTGTTTTATAGGTGTTGTATTGATTCTTGACTGGCTGTTAATTTTATACAAGCTAAAGACGACCTTATTTTGAATATAAGTAAGTTTTTTTTTTATAATTAGTTTTATGTAATTTTATGTAAAATATTCAATCGTGTTTTATATGTATCTAAGTATTTAGTAAAGGAATATTTGCCAGTGTGACCGAGCGGACGACATTCTGAAATATCTATCGAGGTTTGAGTCCAATCGTTAGAACCTTCTCTTTTTTTTTTAAATTTTTTATTGGTTTTTTTAAAAATTCAAAAATAGAACACAATAAAAAGAGAACTATGAAATTGTTTCCTTTGTTTTGCTTTGCTTGGTAATTGTTTTTTAATTAATTGTTTTGCTTTTTAATAATTAAAGCTTTCCGCGACAAACTTTTTTTGAACACAGTCAGGGGAATAAAATAAGTTGTTTCTATTAAGAATATGAGTAAAAAATTTATTTTATATTTAAAATAAATCATTTTTTCCAACTTGGTTATTTTTAAAAATGATATAAAGTTAAAATAACCTAATCTTAAGATAATAAAAAAGTTTAAAGTTTCATATCTGCCCCCGTTAAACATTTTAAACCAAGTGCTCAACAATGACAATTCAGATAACTATCGAAATAGTATTATACTGTGTTTATAGTTTTGAAAGAGTCAGACCGCTATTAACTGGTTATGCACAAGGCATTTTAGATTTGCAAGCGGTAAGTTTTGTATTTCTTGAGATATCTTAGATTCTATTATCATATAAATGGTATAATTGTTAAGTATGCTTTTATTTATATGTAGTATGTATTTGTTAATTTGTTTTTGAAGTTGCTAAAGATTTTAATGCTTTACTTAATGAAACAGTCTGTTTAGTAGGGGATGAATCTTGACAGGCTGTTAATTTTATAGAAACTAATGTTGACCTTATTTTAAATATAAGTAAGTTGTTTTTTATTATTATTGGTTTTAAATAGTGTTAGATATTCAATCGTATTTTTTATGAATCTAATAATTTAGTAGAGTGTTATTGTCTGGAGGTGTTTGATATTCAGGTAAGATTTTATTAAGTTAATTTATTTTAAAAGAATCTTTTAAAATTTACTTATTAAAAATTTTACATTTGCGTTTTTTTCAATTCCAAATTTTGTTTCTATTTTTTTAATATTAAGTAAATTTTTGGTGAAAGTTTCTGTTTCTGCATTAAACACTATCAAAATTTTAGTCAGTAGAACATGCAAAATATTGAAATGATTTGCTGCTGTGACTGTGTTTATGATTATCCACGGCAAGATGGTATTTTATTGTCAGTTAAGATTTTGTGAATACTTTAAACTGCAGTTAATCTTTTTTATGTTTTATAAATTATTTTGTATTACAAACTTTTTAAATTTTGTTATTTTATTTCTTTAGTTCTACTTTGGTACTTTAGCAACTATCATAAGTTTACTTGGTCTACTGTTAAATATGGTTTTAACTAAGTAAATTTTAATTATTTAAAATTTACTTTGTTGATCATTAGCTAATAGTTTATAAAGAATTTAGTCTGTTGCCATCAAGGTAAAAATAATTTTGTGTTTCAGTCAAATTACAAAATTTGTTTGCACTTATAGCTTTTATGTTTCGTTATTTTGTTTAATTGACTTTTTCATTAATTTTGTTATTAATTCCTTTTCATTTCAAATTTTGCCCGTTTTTAAAAATGCTATATAAAAATAGCAGCAGGCAAATTGGTTTGTAGTATTATTATATAAAGATTATTATATAAAGATGTTTTTAATTCTATCATATGATAATTTTTCATCGTAGATATATCTTACGATGCTTTTTCAGCATATTGCAGTTCGCGAGGCACATAAGTTGTGGGCCCGAATTTAGAGCAAAAGCTCGCTCTCCTCCGCCATTTTTTTTTCTTTTTCTTTCTTAATAAGGATCCTGTAAAAAATAAAATATGAGAAGGATCCTTAGTATGGATCCTGTAAAAAATAAAATATGAGAAGATAGCGGTGGGAAAATATTGCGCTATATCTTTAATTAGTATTTTTGTAGTTAGTTAATAATGCAGATGTAGTTGAATTTTTTTTTGTAAATAAAACTTTTATATATTTTGTTTCGTTATCATGTATAAATAAATTGATTTACAGTGGTGTTATTATTTCTTTTTTGAAAAAAACTTATTAGTTTGTGACATAGAATTGACTTGGTCGTTAAGTAGAATGCCAAGAATATATATGACGGTTATTGTTGATAAGGGTGATTAATAGGCAAGTAAATTATAAACTAACTTTATATTAATTTTATTTGTAGACCTAATAAATAGGAAGATAACATAATTCAGGTAATTATTGTTTTCAGTTTTTCTCCCAATAGTTAATTAAAGTTTGATATCTTATATTAAAAAAATATGATTTAATGAACTAATTTACAGAACATGAAGTTTACATGTTAAATATATTTTTTTATAAAAAAATATATTTAACATGTAAACTTCATGTTCTGTAATTAGTAAGTATTTTTATAAAGTAGATAATATAAATTTTTACAGATTTACTTTAACTTGAAAATTTCATCTCCTTATTTTATAGCATTTCATCTCCTTATTTTATAATTTCATCTCCTTATTTTATATGCCGTTTTATAAAGTTTAATAAGTCTTCTGTTTATGAAACAGTGTTAAAAGATAATACAGCATGCCAAAGTGGTTGAAATGCTTCGCTTGGGTTAAAATCCTTTCGCTTACACTCATAATTTTTTTAAATATTTTCCAAATTTCTAGAAAACAAAGTAAAACATTTTTAAAGGCCTATAGATATTATATGCATTACATTACATATATATAAAGATATTATATATTATAACAAACTAAAGGGAGAGAACTTTTTAAAACGCTGTGTAAAATTTCTAAAAACCTGAGAACACTGTTTGAAATTTGTTGCGCATATGTCATGGTAGAGATACTTTAGTTTTGGATAAATTAGTTTAGTCTGCGCATTTAAGAGACAACTTTTTCTCTAATAGAAAAAAAGTTTTACATGCAAACTGAAATTTTCTTGAAAATTAACTGGGCAAGAGTCCTAACAAGTATCGGATGGTATGAAAAAAAATTATAGTCTGAAACTTAATAAAAAAAAACTTAACACAAACAGAAAACCCAAAAATGCTAAAATTACGTCATAACTTTAGTTCCGCCAAATCCGGTAATAGGAATGCTCAAATATAAAATAGAAATATTAAATGATTTTTGTATTTCGATATATGCGCCAACTCTTAAACGACTGTAAAACTACCTTGCGGTTATCTAATTAAATCCACCAAATCCGATAATAAAAACAGCTCAATTAATAGATTTAAAAATCATCTGATTTTTGCATTTTGATATGTGCGCCAACTGTACTCTAAAACCACTAAAACTTGGCCATGCTTTCTCTCATTCAAATCGATTATACAACAAGGAACTGCAAACTAAAATACAGCAAAGAACTACAAGTAAGTTTCATCTCTATCGTTTACAAGTTTACTTATTTTAATCATCCATTTAAAAAATTAATCTTAATTCGGAACTAATAAAGTTATTATGCTTTTGACACAAGAATAAACATTAAGATTATATTTTAGAAATGAGCAGCCAAAACACAGAAGGTTAGAGTATTCTTTTTATTTTATATAAAATTAATAAATTAAAGATATAGAAAGAGATGATACGAAAATAATGTTGAAATATTTAGTTTATTATTTTATCAAGAGATTATATATAGATAAACTTTTATGTCTTTAGGCGACGAAGAAGTTTCAGAATTTTTTAGAAGTAAGCCACAATATAATTATACTATATACTACGTATAGTTGCAGTCATGGCTCCCCACAAAGGGAGGTGCAGTTGGTACTCTAGCACTAGGATCCGGAGATAAATGGGGTTCGGCTTTAAATCTTTAAAATTTTCAGTCTCATTAAGTTGAAAAATCAAATTGAAAAATTGACAATTTGATTTTTAACTTTTCAATAACATTTAAACATCTAAAAACCTAATCTTTTTTAAAAGCAAAAAACTTTAAATAAATACAAAAATGATTTAGATTGTGAAAGCAAAAGCGGTTTCTTAAATAAAAAACTTTATAAGTTTATTGTGGCCAAAGAAAAAAAAATTTTTTATTGTATGCAATGCAATAAGGGTATGTGTGTGTGTGTGTGGGTTGGGGGGGGGGGCCGCAGAGAGCTCTAGCATGGGGTCCGGTTTCAAGATGTGGGGGCCATGGTTGCAGTTGCATATGTTCTAAAATTTAATTAAATAAAAAATATTTAAAATAATTTTTGGACTTTACAAGGATGCACCCGAAATTTGGTTATTGTTTATTTCCCCTATTTTAGATTGATGTTTTTGTAAAACAGTGAACCTTGAAAACGTGTGTAAGCTTTATTTAACATGCTAGAATCTTAAATGCTAAGTTTCGGAGTAAAACGAAAATTTTCTTTAAATTCTGAGTTTCGGTTGCGTCGTGAAAATGTCAAACAATTAAGTTCGGACATTTTTAACAAAATTAAAAAATAAATAAATAAAAAAGTTTGTTGAATTGAATAAGTGAATGGTATATAATATATAAAGTATATAAATTTTGTAAATATATATTAGATGTTCAAGAGATAAGTGAAAAAGAATTATCCTCATGTAAGCTACATTTATATATATATATATATATATATATATATATATATATATATATATATATATATATATATTTTTTAATTTATATATATATTTTTTCAAATTTACATATATATATATATATATATATATATATATATATATATATATATATATATATATATATATATATATATATATATATATATATATATATATATGTATGTATATGTATATATATGTATGTATATGTATATATAATACATAAAGTTATATATATTCTATATTCAGCAAGTTAGTTTCTTTTTTAAAGTTTATAGGCTTTTTTATTTTGTTTAGAAACCTTGGAAGATTCAGTTGGTAAACAAAGTTTGAATATATTTCATTTGTGTTTAAAATGCTATACTATTTATAATTAGTATAGCATTTTACTTCCAAAAAAGTCTATTCTATGGTCTTTTTGCTTCTTTTAATTAACTTTTTACCCCTTTCCTTAGGTCTTATATTACAACAACTTAGTAAGTAAATATTTTATTTTGTTTTATGATTAATTGTTGTTTGTTGTGTTTTTATTTGTTGTACTGGTATAGAGGTATATTATATTAGATATAAAGAGATAAAACATTACATGATTTATGTGTTAATTAAAATTAATTTTTTATTTATTTTCTATTTTGATGCCGTTTGTTTTCTGCAAACAATATTAAATACTTTTTAGTTTTGTGGTTTACACTTATTTTATACTTTGCAAGTTAGTTTCTATGTTATTGTTAATAAATTTCTTTTTTAGAAAAATTAGAAAAATCAAACGGTAAGCAAAGTGCGACTATAATACATTTCTGTTTTATTATATTAGCTAAAACATTTCTTTATTATTATTAGTATTATTATTTTTTTTTTGCCTCCACAGAAGCACCAACAGGATCAATATCAAGTAATGTGTTTTGCATACTTATGTATTTTTTGGGTGTTCTGTGTATTAAACTGAAACATTCTTATACAGATTTATAGGTGTTATGCGTATTAAAACATAAGCATTAAATTTTTTTATTTTTTATGCAGTTTTATGAATGTTTGGTTTGTGCTAATTTAAAATTTAATTTTTTTTTTGCCTCTCCAGCAGCACCCCTGGCAAATATTTCAGGTAGTGTGTTTTGCAAACTTATGTATTGAAACATAAACATTCAATTTTTTTATATTTGTATGAAGTTTCATGACTCTGTAGTTGATGTTAATTTTTTTAACTTTTAATTTTTTTTTTTTTTTTTGCCTCCACAGAAGCACCAACGGGATCTGCATCAAGTAATGTATTTTGCATACTTATGTATTTTTTGGGTGTTGTATTATTCAAGCTGAAACATTACATTTTTAATATTTGTATGCAGTTTCATACCTGTTAAATATATGTTAATTTGAACGTTACTATTTTTTTTTTTTGCCTTTACAGAAGCACCATTGGCAGTTGTGTCAGGTAGGTGGGTTTTGCATACTTATACAGGTTTATAGGTGTTATGCGTATTAAAACATAAGCATTAAATTTTTTTATTTTTTATGCAGTTTTATGAATATTTGGTTTGTGCTAATTTAAAATTTAATTTTTTTTTTGCCTCTCCAGCAGCACCCCTGGCAAATAATTCAGGTAGTGTGTTTTGCAAACTTATGTATTGAAACATAAACATTCAATTTTTTTATATTTGTATGAAGTTTCATGACTCTGTAGTTGATGTTAATTTTTTTAACTTTTAATTTTTTTTTTTTTTTTTGCCTCCACAGAAGCACCAACGGGATCTGCATCAAGTAATGTATTTTGCATACTTATGTATTTTTTGGGTGTTGTATTATTCAAGCTGAAACATTACATTTTTAATATTTGTATGCAGTTTCATACCTGTTAAATATATGTTAATTTGAACGTTACTATTTTTTTTTTTGCCTTTACAGAAGCACCATTGGCAGTTGTGTCAGGTTTTGCATACTTATACAGGTTTATAGGTGTTATGCGTATTAAAACATAAGCATTAAATTTTTTTATTTTTTATGCAGTTTTATGAATATTTGGTTTGTGCTAATTTAAAATTTAATTTTTTTTTTGCCTCTCCAGCAGCACCCCTGGCAAATATTTCAGGTAGTGTGTTTTGCAAACTTATGTATTGAAACATAAACATTCAATTTTTTTATATTTGTATGAAGTTTCATGACTCTGTAGTTGATGTTAATTTTTTTAACTTTTAATTTTCTTTTTTTTTTTTTGCCTCCACAGAAGCACCAACGGGATCTGCATCAAGTAATGTATTTTGCATACTTATGTATTTTTTGGGTGTTGTATTATTCAAGCTGAAACATTACATTTTTAATATTTGTATGCAGTTTCATGCCTGTTAAATATATGTTAATTTGAACGTTACTATTTTTTTTTTTTGCCTTTACAGAAGCACCATTGGCAGTTGTGTCAGGTAGTGGGTTTTGCATACTTATACAGGTTTATAGGTGTTATGCTTATTAAAACATAAGCATTAAATTTTTTTATTTTTTATGCAGTTTTTTGAATGTTTGGTTTGTGCTAATTTAAAATTTAATTTTTTTTTTTGCCTCTCCAGCAGCACCCCTGGCAAATATTTCAGGTAGTGTGTTTTGCAAACTTATGTATTGAAACATAAACATTCAATTTTTTTATATTTGTATGAAGTTTCATGACTCTGTAGTTTATGTTAATTTTTTTTAACTTTTAATTTTTTTTTTTTTTTGCCTCCACAGAAGCACCAACAGGATCTGCATCAAGTAATGTATTTTGCATACTTATGTATTTTTTGGGTGTTGTATTATTCAAGCTGAAACATTACATTTTTAATATTTGTATGCAGTTTCATACCTGTTAAATATATGTTAATTTGAACATTACAATTTTTTTTTTTTTTTGCCTTTACAGAAGCACCATTGGCAGTTGTGTCAGGTAGTGGGTTTAGCATACTTATACAGTTTTATAGGTTTTATGCATATTAATTTTTTATGCATTTAAATTAGCATTAAATTTTTTTCTTTTGTATGCAATTTTATGAATGTTTGGTTTGTGTTAATTTAAACTTTAATTTTTTTTTCGCTTCTCCAACAGCACCCCTTGCAGTTATTTCTGGTAGTGTGTTTTACATACTTATGTAGTTTTGTGGGTGTTATGTGTATTAAAACATAAACATTCAATTTTTTTTATGTTTGAAGTTTCTTGACTGTAGTATATGTTAATTTTTTTTTTTTTTACCTCCACAGAAGCACCATTGGCATCAGTGTCAGGTAACATGTTTTCACACTTATGCATTTATATGAGTGTTATGTGTATTTAAATATAAACATTAAATTTGTGAAGTTTGTATATAAATACATGATTTAATTGTTTATATATATATATATTTTTTTCTTAACAGCAACACATTCTTCAGTTGCAACAGGTAAAGTGAATTTTAGTCGTTTTTAAAATTAATATGTTAGTCGTTTTATGCAGAATTTATATATATATATATATATATATATATATATATATATATATATATATATATATATATATATATATATATATATATATATATATATGCATATATGGTATGTAATCAAATTTATTGCTTTTTTTTTAGCATCTTGGGAGAGTTTCCTTTTATATCGCTCCCAGCACCCAGGCCCATTATCACAGAGGGCCTTCTTCCGGTGGTGCCAATATGGGGGAGATGATCCCTCCTTTAGATGGAGGAGACAGACCCCATATGGGGCCACCGGTAGGAGGAGTGGTGCTGGGAGGCAGAATGACCAAAGGTCAAACATTATGAATTTTTATCAGTAGTTTTTTTTTTTTTTTTTTTGTGTTAATTTATTTATTTGTTGTAAATATATCTTTACGTTTCAAAAAAGTTGTTTTTTAGTTTCGATTTTTGCAAGTATTTTTATTTATTTTTGATATTTTAATTTTTTAATTTTATATTTATTGATTTTTATTTCTGATTTGAGAGTCTAAACTTTCAAAACAACTCTTATGTGGTTAAATGTTAAATAATTTGTCTATTAATTTTTATTTATTTCATATAGTTTTTGATTTCTTGATAGTAAATATTTTGTAATTTAGTTACAATTTTTTCTTATTCTATTTGTTTGTTTTATATGCCTAATTGTTGCATTATACACATATTAATGTTTATATTATTCTCTTTAGATTTTTATTATAAAAAAGTAATCATTAAAGATAGCCACATGTGAACTATATGATGTTACATGTTAGACAAGTTTTATTTGCAATTTGCAATTTGGCATGTCGTTTTTTTATTTGTAAATAATTTTACTATTTAATTTAGTTATTATTAGCATTAAAAAATTGTTAAAATTGTTATAATTTTATTTTAATTTATTTCTAAAATATTTTGTTTTATTACTTTAAATGTAATACTTAGTGGTTCAACTTATGTTTAACTTTTAGGTTTTTCTCTGTTTTAAACCAGTTAAGTTAAGACTTTAGGTCAATAATTTTTATTAGAAAATATATAAATAGTCTTATAGAGTTTATATTGATAATTAGAAATGCACATATTATGTTTTTCCATTTTAGATTAGTATAACAAAAAATTAATCAAATCAACTTTTATCAAACATAGTTTCTTAGTTATGTCAAATAACTTGAGAGCTGAAATAAGAAGAAATCGTCGGAATGAGAGAAATGAGGCTAGGCGAGAAGAACTTAATCGTCGCCAAAATGAAAGAAATGAGGCAAGGCGAGAAGAAATTAATCTTCGCCAAAATGAAAGAAATGAGGCAAGGCGAGAAGAAATTAATCTTCGCCAAAATGAAAGAAATCAGGCTAGGCGAGAAGAAATTAATCGTCGCCAAAATGAAAGAAATCAGGCTAGGAGAGTATTACATAGACGTGGAATGCATTGCATAGCAAGAAATAATGTTTTTATAGTGAGTAATTACCTTGGAGAAATGAACCATATTTGTCAATATTGTGGTGCCAAAAAATTTTTAAATGAAACACATTTTCTGTGCTGCCATTCTGAAAAAGTTGCGTTAGCTCCACTTTCGCCTTATCCACTGCTCATGCACAATTTAATGACAGGCAACCATGTTGATTGTGCTATGAATCAAAATTTCTTCAAGCATATTCGAAGTTATAATGCCTGTTTATCTTTTGCTTCATTCACAGCAAGAATAGCTCCTCCGTCTGATCATGGGCCACCCTGTTTTAGGATTTGCGGACAAATTGTGCATCGTGTTGGTAATCTGAGACCTGATCAAAATGTTCTGCCTGCATATTGTCAGTTATATGTTTATGATCCTAATACTGCTTTAAATTTTCGAATGGAGCAAAATGATTGTTGCATACGTGAGTTGATGGAATTTTTGCAGACTATAATTAGTCAAGAGAACCCATTTGCTCTTGCATTTAAAAACATGGCTGAAATTGAAGATGAAGAAGTACGTCAAGCAGCTTTAGAAGGTCGACCAACTTCGATTGTTAAAATGTCATTGCTTGAAGGTGGTGATAGACGTCGATACAATCTTCCTTCACATGAGGAAGTTGCCATTGTTTTTGTTGGGGATGATGGTGCTCCACCTCCATCTAGGGAAGTAGTTATATACCCTCGAGGTCAGGCCTTAAAAACAATTTCAAGTATGTCTGCAAATCTAGATCCAATGATATATCCAATATTTTTTCCAAGAGGTGATGCTGGATGGCATGAGCAACTAGAGCATCATCCTGACCGAGCTACACGTGTTAGAAATCGGGTTACTTTGTCTCAGTACTACAACTACAGGCTTTCTGTTAGAGAAACCTTTAATCCTATATTTAATGGTAAGAAGCTTTTTCAACAGTATGCTGTTGATGCATATGTCAAGATTGAAGGTCAGCGCCTTGCTTTTATTAGAAATAACCAAAACAGACTTAGAAGTGAACAATATGATACATTATATGAACATGTAAATAACGCTGCAAATAACCTTAATGTAAGACCAGGTCGTTTTGTTATACTACCATCCTCATATGTTGGAAGTCCAAGAGCTTTAAAAGAAAATTTTGAAGATGCAATGGCAATTATAAAGAGATATGGCAAACCAGATCTTTTTATTACTTTTACCTGCAATCCAAAATGGAAAGAAATTACAGAAAATTTAAATCCAGGTGAGAGCCCATTTGACAGACCTGATTTAGTTTGTCGTGTATTTAAGATGAAACTTAAATGCTTCCTAGATGATATTTTTAAACACGGAGTCTTAGGTAAAGTTATAAGTCATGTACAGGTTATTGAGTTTCAAAAACGTGGTTTGCCACATGTACATATTTTATTGCACTTTGTAAATGATGATAAGCTAGAAACAGCAGAGGATATTGATAGTCTAATATCAGCTGAAATTCCAGATCAAACTGTTGATCCTGAACTTTTTGAAATTATAAAAACATGTATGATTCACGGACCATGTGGAATTTTGAATCCCAATTCTTCTTGCATGAAAGATGGGATTTGCACAAAAAAGTTTCCTAAAGAATTTAATCCTCACACTGTTGCAACTTTCAATGGCTATCCTCACTACAGGCGTTTAGATAATGGTAGAGTAGTCGTTATAAAAGGTAACCAAGTTGATAATCGATGGGTTGTACCCTACAACCCTTGGTTATCTAAAAAATACCAAGCACATATTAATGTTGAAGCTTGCATGTCTATTAAGTCAGTTAAGTATTTATATAAATATGTCTATAAGGGGCATGATTGTGCTCATGTGTTAATTAATGAAAGTCTTGACCATGATGAAATTAACACATATTTAGATTGTCGCTTTGTTTCTGCACCAGAGGCTCTTTGGCGAATATTTGAGTATTCCATAAGTGATATGTCACATACTATTATCCGCCTTCAAGTCCACCTTCCTGATAATCAGAGGGTATATTTTAACGAAGGAGAAGAACGAGTAGCTATAGATCGTGCTGCACAGCGTGACACTCACCTAACCGCTTGGTTTAAATTAAATGCTGAGATAAATGAAGCACGTCAGTATTCTTATGTTGAAATTCCATATCACTTTGTTTTTGATGGTAAAAATTGCAAGTGGAAAGTAAGACAAAGAGGCAGTGATAAGGTGATTGTGCGAATGTATAAAGTCAATCTAACCAGTGAAGTATTTTTTCTTAGATTGTTGCTTTTGCATGTAAAAGGTGCAATGTCTTTTGAGGATTTGCGTACTATTCATGGCACTGTTTTTAATACATTTCGCGAAGCATGTTATCGATTAGGTCTATTGCAAGATGACATTGAATGGAGAAATACATTAACTGAAGCTGTAGCAACTCGAATGCCTAAACAAATTAGGCAACTGTTTTCCATTATATTGACTTTATGTGAACCTGATGATCCTTTACACCTTTGGAATACATTTAAAGATTATATGATTGAGGATTACATACACCATTCAATGCCAGTTGTACTTGCTGAACAGACTGCTCTTCGTCAAATTGAATCTATAATTAATCAGAGTGGTAAAACTTTAACTGATTATAATTTGCCTACATTAGATCAGTTATTAGATAATGTCCTAGAAAATGATGATGGAGATATTCAGGTATTTATTGATGAAGCAAATCGAGTTAGACCATTATTAAACGATAATCAGCGTAATGTAGCTGATGCAATCCTTGCTGCACTTAGTGAAGAACCTAATAATGAAATAAACATTCAAGATTTTTCTTTATGGATGGGCCTGCCGGTTGTGGTAAAACATTTACTTACAATTATTTAATTGCTGAAACACGCAGCAGGCATATTAGAACTGCAACAGCTGCATGGACAGGAATAGCTGCAACTCTTCTTAAGAATGGATGCACATTGCACGGCTTATTCAAACTTCCTGTTCCAATTTTGGAAACTAGCACATGTAATGTAACTCCAAACTCCATTCATGGTAGATTCCTGAGACAAGTTAGTTTATATTTACTCGATGAAGCATCTATGATACCCAAACATGCTTTGAGTGCCATTGATAAGTTATTACAAGATATTTGTAATAATAAGTTTCCTTTTGGTGGTAAAGTTATTCTTATGGGTGGAGATTTTCGACAAATACTTCCAGTTGTGAAGAGAGGTCGACCAGCAGATGTTGTAGAATCATGTATAAAATGTTCTGAACATTGGCAATATGTGCAAAGGTTTTCATTAACTGAAAATATGAGGGTTCAGATAGGAGAAGAGGAATTTTCTCAATGGCTTTTAAAGCTTGGAAGTGGAACATTACCTGTCAAGCCTGAAGATCCTTTGCAAGGGTGTATTGAAATACCTGAGCAGTGTTTTCTCAATGATAATGAATCTATTGTGGAAAAGATTTTTGGTGGTGCAGAAGAAGCTGATTATGCAAAACGTGCTATTTTAACACCAACAAATGTTGATTCATTGGCAATAAATGAAGAAGTCCTTCATCGATTACCGGGTGATGTTAAAACTTATTTAAGTTCAGATAGCATTGAAACTGATGATCATAATGAAATTTATAATTTTCCAGTTGAGTTTTTAAATACTTTGACTCCATCAGGTATGCCTGTTCATTGCCTAAAGTTGAAAATTGGTGCTGTTATAATGCTACTTAGAAATTTAGATCTCAAAGGTGGACTTTGTAATGGAACACGTTTGATGGTGCGTGCACTACACAACAATTACATTGATGGTGAGGTTCTAACAGGTGTATCAGCTGGTAACAGGGTATTTGTTCCTCGAGTTCAATTAGCTCCATCAGATTCAAATTTACCTTTTACACTTAAACGTCGTCAATTTCCAGTTAGGTTAGCATACTCAATGACCATAAATAAAAGTCAAGGTCAAACATTTGATAAAGTTGGTGTTTATCTCAAAAAGCCTTGCTTTTCACACGGCCAATTATATGTTGCATGTTCAAGAACAAAATCTTTTAATAGTTTGTTTTTTAAAGTTGATAAACATGCATTACAAGGTATGTCATTTAACAAATATTACACAAATAATGTTGTGTTTACAAATGTTCTTAATTTATAATTTTGACAAGTTTGTTTATGTTTTTTTTCTTTGCTATATATGTTTATATATGTGAATATATGTTTTTACTTATATATAGATGTTTGTGTTTGTATATGTTTGTTTATATGTGTTTAAGTTTATATTATGTTGTTTCCATGTTTGAAAAGTGGTGTTACTTGGCAACGTGTAGTGCAAGATTGTGATCCTTGCCAGCCAAGTGGTGTTACTAATTAGTGGTGTTACTTGGCACTTAATGCCAAGCGGTGTTACTAAATTGTGGTGTTACTTGGCAGCGTTTAGTGCCAAGCGGTGTTACAAGTGTTGAACTAGGTTGTGTTGTCTAGCTTTTTTAATTATTTTGGAAACACATAATATCTGAATACATTGTGTAATGTGTACTTACAAATGTCATATGTTGTGTATTATTCAGTAGCGTAGGCAGGATTTTTTGATGCTTCAGGTTTTACTTTTATTTTCAGACTCTTTCATTACTTTCAGACTCTTTCATTACTTTCAGACTCTTTTATTACTTTTATTACTTTCAGACTCTTTAATTACTTTCAAACTCTTTCATTACTTTCAAACTCTTTTATTACTTTCATTACTTTCAGACTATTTCATTACTTTCAGACTATTTACTTTCAAACTCTTTCATTACTTTCAGACTCTTTCAACTAAACTTAATTGTGTTCATGTTGTCAAATTCAAATAATTTGTAAAATATGGATGTGGTTGGGGCTTGAAAACAAATATGTTTTAAAAAGGTTTGCTTTCCTCCCTTGAATTTAGCTGCCAATTAGTTAAAAAAGTATTTTTTTTAAGCATATAATAATAATCTTATTCATTAACAGGTTTTAAATTTCTTATAAAACAACAAAAGTCCTGTCTACACCACTGGTGTTTTTGTTTGTCATTGTGTAATGTTTCTGTTGTGATGTTTTGTGTTGATAGACAGCTTGGCTTACCTTCACGCTGGTGTCTATCGTTAAAAATGATTATTAGCTAGCTTCATTACTGAAACTACTCCTTCTAATCATTCACTAAAAGCCAAGAAATATTTTTTTGAATAAATGCCTAATTTTTTTATCTCACTGTGACTTTTTATCTTTAGCATTGTTGATAAAATAGCTTTTTAAATAAAGAGTGTTTCCAGCCTTCCAATCAAATACTAGAGACTTCCACAAAAGCGATCTCACAAAGTAAGTTTCTTATTTAGTGTTTGATAATTGACTAAGTTTCGTCACCTTTTATATATTTTTTTACATCTTATTATGTAATTTTTCAACATTTAGACAACTTTTAAATAACTTTAAACAACTTTTATATGTGTATTCAGTGTTTTATATAACAATATTTTTCTTCATTTTATAGGTAGATTTCCTGTTATAACTGGTTTAAAAATTGTTAATCGTTAATCATTTTTTAAAAGCGTTTACTTTTTCTAAAGACGTATTACTAATACCATTAGTAATACGTCTATTCATACATTATCAAAAATACTTTATCAAATGTATATTCATACCATTTACTAAAAGCTATCTTCTCTATATATTATTGCCGAACTTAATAGTGTTAGTAGCGCTCTTTCGAGCGTGTTTGACAAACCCATGGCAACTATTGCAACCAAAGTAATGGCGAGGAAGAGTCTCAGCACTTTTTGATAAATAAACGTAAACAAAAGTGTATGCAAATATCTAACTTACGTAAACTTCAAAATATGAAATGTTAAAACATACAAAAACATGTCAAGTTTTACAGTTTTACTTTCACTTAAAAACAGCATTGCGGCAACGTCTCTTTAATTTTAATCGATTTACAAAGTCTTTTATTTATTATATATTTTTGAAATTTTCGTCAAAATGCCGTGGTTAGCCTTACGTAAACTTTTATTTATTATAATTTTAAATTTGTTATTTGTCATGTTATTTTAAGTCGTATTAGCGCAAAGAAATTGGGTATATAACATGTAAATATTTAGAACTATAAAGTTGTTTTGTTTTGCATTTTAAATAACAATAATTTTATTAAAAAAAGCAAGCTGATGATTTGAACTTGCCACGCGGCGACCTTGAATTTTTTTAAAACAGTGAGGGGGTTTTAAAAAAAAACATTCTTATTTAAAAAAACTTTAAAAATCTTAAATTTATTTTTATAATAAATTATTTTATTGAACTTATTATTTTTCAAAATAATAAAACGTTAAAACTATTTAATTTAAAATAATAAAAATATTTAGAATTTTACAGTTACTTATTTACGCCCCCGTTAAATATTCTAAACCGAGTGCGCAACTATGACAGAATTTAGAAAACCAATAAAATTGTAAGATACTCTGTTTAATATTGGAAGAGTCTACTCGGATGCTATAAACTAATGGACTCTATTATGTTTCTTTTTGTAATGTTTTTCTAACGGTTAACAAATAAAAGCAAAGCGGAGATACATCAACTGAGCGTTTAGGTTTGGGCAGGCATTCTTTTAAATTAAAGTAAAGAGTTTTGATACTTATTTAAATAGGGTTAACAAAATATTTTAAATTATATATATTATATTTAAAAAATTATAAAACTAAATTACATATGATTTTTAGATGAAACAGTAAAAATAATTGTTTAAAATACGTGCGTGCAAATAATTCCTACCAATACTAAACGTAAAAAAACGCTTACAAACACCAAAAGTATATTTACCGTGAATAAAATTAAGTTCAAAGAAAAATTGGAAGAAATGTTTAAAACTGTTTCAATAATAACATTTATTTTTAATTATTTTTGTTGTAAGTTGGGATGAAAAAAAAGGTCACTGGAATATGAACTCCCGGGGTGAGATGACTATATCTGTCTAAGTGTTGCGCGGCTACCAATTAGCCCATAAACGTATTCTCTATTTAGAATTTGAGATAATTTATGACGCATAAGAAGTGTAATTAAAAATTCAAAACCAAGTTTGGAACAACTGAATTTAAAAAAAATCTAATTAGATGTGTATATGTTATGAACGTTAACTAAGGCGTACTTTAACGGCATCACGTGCTGAATGTTTTTGCATTTTTCAAAGTTCGTAGTCTTTTTTACGTTTTTTCTTATTAAAATCTTTATAATCGGCATAATATTAAAAGCGTTTAAAGTTTTTTAAAGAACATTATAACGTTATATAATGAAATTTTTTTGTCATATCAAAAAGTAAGTATAGTTTTTTATATGTACATAGTTTTTAAAACGGTTTTAAAAAAATATTGAGGTAAGGAATAAGTATAGAAAAGGTCGGTGTGGAATAGATTTACTAAGACCCTTATTTTACGTCCTGATAGCTATAGAAATGATCAGATAAGTATAAAAATGGTCGGTTCGGTAAAGACCCGTATTTTACGGGTCCGCCCAGCTAGTATATTAATAATATTTAAAACATATTTATTACATCTTTAACATGTATCATATCCATGATGTATAACATTGTTACTCTATATTAGTTAAAGTTCAAAATTCATATTTATAAAAATCATATATTCATAATTGGACATCTTTATACATTTGGAAACATAAGGTGTATATATCTACAATGACCATATATCTACAACTAACTAGGCACGCGTCGTCCGAACGATTGTCTAGTGAGACGCGTCGTTCAGTGTGTTGTTGATATATGATCATTGTAGGTATATACATTTTAAATTCTTAAATGTTATCCGTTAGACGTCTCATGGACGTCCAGACGTCCTTTAGAAAACGCATGCCAACAGGAAAGTAGAACAGTGTACAAATATTTTGTTTTACTATTTTACATAATAGCAAGCAGTTTAGTTGAACATTTTAGTTAGAAAATTGTATTTTAAAACATTGACATAAATAACAAAAATTGAAAATTTTTGAAATACAATAAATTTATAAAAGTATTAAAATAAAAAAAAACATTATTTAACTTTTTATTTAAGTATAAAAAGCACTTAGTGTAAAATTTCTTTTTAAATGAATATAAGTTATTCTAAGTTTGTTCAATTCTGTTTCTGTCTATTTTTTAGAACTATTTTTCAGCAAATCAAAGACTGTTATCCTAAAAAGTATGGCAGGGAGACCACAGTCATTTACTCTAATCATGTAAAATGTTACAGGTTCAATTATTACTGCTAGTACTAGTTTTTGCTAGGAAAAAAAATTGATACTTTTCAATACTAGTCGACAGAGCAATTGTAAAAAACAAGAAAAATAAATCCAAAAAAAAAAAAAAAAAAGACACAAAAAGTAGGTAAAAAAAAATTAAAATTAAAATAATTTTTTTTTTTAAATATTAAAAACAGTGTTGATAAACGGCGTAAATCTTCTTGCCTCCACTTTTCTTCCGCAGCAGACGGCTGCTGCCTCCCGATTAATTTTTAGCGGCAAAATGTTCTTTCTTCCACCTCCAGTGGCTTTCGCTTTTCAATTGGCAGCCGCAGCCGGAGTTCATTTTTGGAGGGAAAATGTTTTTGAGGCCGACGCCAATAGAGTAGCGGAAGCCAATGGTGGCCGCCTTTAAAAGAAATTTTGGAGGCAAAGCCATTTGGAGGCCGCCTCCATTGGCTTCTGCCTCCTAACTGGCTGTGGCCGTTAAATTGGAGGCGGAAATATTTTCCTCCTGCCGGCGGATGCCATGAAAAATAATTGCTCGTTTGCTTTAAAGCAATTTAATATTAACTAAAAACAAATGTTAAACACTTGACATCAAAGTTTTACTTTATATTATTTATTAACTATTTAAAAAAATTATAACTTTGTCAGAGCGGTTGTTTATCTACTATTATCGAATAAATTAGTAATTTTTACTTCAAAACAAATATTTAAAATCAAAAATTTTGTTTACATGCCTTGAGAAAAAAAAAAAAAATTATGAGAAATAATTAAAGTTTTTGATTGTATGATATTTGGTCGCCATTACGTCACGCTAAAAATGTTAATTCTAGTCATTATATACTGTACAAATATTTGAAAAACACAACATCTTTTAACATTATTAAAAATTAATAAAGTTAATTTATTTAATATTTATTTATTTATTAT